AGATGCGTCATCCCGAGAGTTGATACTTATGTAAAGCTCATTTGGAATGTACACACTAATACTTTGGCAAGAATTCCCTTAAGCGAACGGAGCCTATGGGTAAAATTCTTGAGATGGGTAGAGTCTCATGGGAAGAGACAATTCGTAAGGTTGATTATATGTCCCTTAGATTCCGAAATCCATTCGTTTCAATCCTGTGTGTACGAATGGAGCCTACGGTTAAAAGGCTTGAGATGGGTAGGGTCCCATGGGAAGTGACGGTTCATGTGAAAAACACCTTGAATCCGAATCCATTTTGTATGTTAAATCATGATACAAGGATCTGTGGCCCAAGTTAAAAGTCCTAGACGTAGGTGAGGCAGCGGGAAAGTTTACCTTGGTATGGTTTCCGATTAGTGATTTTTTGAGTTGGTGAACTCAAGAGGCATGTTTCCATACATTGCGAGTTGTGTGAACTCAAGTCTTATTTCCATTTTCCTCTTGACTTGAGTTAGAATTTGATTAGAACCCCGTAGAGCCAAGTGAACCCATAAGATAGGGGAACGCACTGAGATTATCATCTCACTCAGTCATTGTTGTTGTTTTTCAGGTATTATTTGCAGGTTTAGTTTACAATTGGAGCTATGCATGGATGTTTAAAGGAAAGCTTAGATTATGATCTTTCTGATGTGTTTTGTGTATATTGTACAATGAAGGATATTGTACTTAGATCTTAGATTTTATTGTTTGTCACTTTCCATATTTTGTACCATAGGTTGTTTCATTGTTTTAGAAAGGGTCAAGTATGTAAATGTTGCCAATAGGCACTTATGATGGTGTTAGTACCAAATAATAACACTTATATGATATCATTATAGGTATATATTATACAGGGAATTACACCATATGTGCATGATTTCCTAACAAAAAAAATTTCAAATTTCCAAGTAAACCAATCGATTGACATATAACCATTAGCGATTGTTTCAAACTCTATTTCAGAAAATTGAGATTTTTCAATGGACCAATTAATTAATTCTATTAACCAATAGATTGTCTTGTGTAAAATTTCAAAATTTTAATGTCACAAAGAATGGACCAATCTTTTGTTCCTGAAGCTTTTTTATTTTTCTGAAACATTGACACACCACTTCAAGATATCTCTTCATGGAAACTTTTCCCAAACCATTATAATTATTTTTCTGATGAAATATCAAACATTTTCCAAGATATATCAAAGGATGCTTGTGTCATATAAATATAAATCAAATTTTCAGATTTCAAGTTAACCTCTTGCAGACATCATTTTTACATAATCCAAACAAGTTTTTCAAGTGTTCATATATCCATAAAAAAAAATGAAACTTTGTGCATAAAATTTCACATGATTTAGACAAGTTTCATTTATATCATTTCTGAGCACTTAAGTGTATATGTTTGGGTTGTAATCAAAGAGAAAGAAGAGAGCCAAAACTTTTATATACCTTGTAATGCAAGCAAGTCAATAGAGATACAAAATCAAGAGTTTTAAATATGCATTATTATAATCATCAAGTTATTGGTGATTGTTGTAAAAAGGTCCTTTGAATTGGTTTGACTCAAAGTCCATCATAGTTGTTGATGTTATTGGAAATAAATGAAGTGGTGTGCTTCTTTGTTATTGTTAGAATATTGTAAGATAAGTCTTATGGGTAAGCATGTACCAAGATCTGACAATAGTGAAATCTCTGACAGGGTGTGAGGGGACTGGAGTACCCTTGGTTAGAAAGGGGAACTAGGATAATCTTTGTGTCATTTACTTTTCTGCACTATAATTTTATGCATAATACTATTCCAATCAAGTTGAAATACTTAAGTTTTTTCCGAAAGGTGGGGTGATGGTGGATGAGGAGGCGACAACCTTCCCTGATCCTTTCCCCTCATAGGAGGAAAGTGTGGTCAGAGAGGGAGGCGATCTTAAGAGTCTGCAGTTAGAGCCTACTGTTGTGGAGGAGAAAGTTCCTGAAGAATGATGCTTTGCCTTCAATGGCTTTTTTTGTATTCTATTTTTACTCACTCAGAGGCTTTTGTAATTTTATAGAATAACGGCGCCCCTCAGAGGGCATCTTTATATTTACTTTTTAATGTTTAACTATTCTTGTCGTTCTTATCTTTAGATGTCATGTAGCTATGGCTACCCACTCGGGCGGCAAGGATCTATCCTTAGGGGTCCATCAAATATAATTTCTCGTATGGACAGAAAGGATCCACCCTTGAGGGATCCAAAAAATATAATGGTCTCTACGAGCGGCAAAGATCCATCATTTTAGGATCAGTCAAGTATAATTGCCTCTATGGACGGTAAGGATCCACCCTCGGGGGATCCGATAAATATAATTTCCTCTATGGGCGACAAGGATCCACACTTGGGGTATCCAGCAAGTATAATTTCCTCTATAGGTGGCAAGGATCCACCCTTGAGAGATCCAGAAAATATAATTTCCTCTATGGGTGACAAGGGTTCATCCTTAGTTGATCCATAAAATATAAATGTTTTGTTCCTTATGAAATTGAATTTCCTGTGTAGATATTTCAAAATGAAATAAACATATACAAAAGATGAGGTACCTCATTAAAAACCCACGCCCCTCGGGAGGTGTAGAGGGAAAAGAGTGCATCCAAGTTAATAACTGGTTCTTATGACTAGTGGAGTTTGAATACTCGCCTATGGAAAAATGTACGCTAAGTAAAATAACAGAAGATAAAGCACCTACATGAAAAACAAAAATAGAATGGCAGTGCAACAATTCCCGAGGAGAATGGATCTCTTCTTTCTCCAAAAATTTGTCACATGGAAGGGATAGGTTGGAAGCTTCCTTGTCATTATCAGCTTATTTGGGTAGAGTAATCCTAGAGTTGGAATTTTTTCCCTTATTCCCTCAAGGTGTGCTATCCTTAATTCGGGGATTTCTGCATAACATTTCTTGGATATTTTCTGATCTCCTCAAACCACTCCCACGCGCCCATTATGGAGCGAGTATTTCATGCATAAATACAAGGTAGATAAAACAATTCTCAGCCAGTTAAAGATTGGTCGCCTAATAATCATATTATATGATTAGGGGACGTAAATAACTAAGTATTTAACCTTTATTTCCTTAGCTTCATCATCCTTCTTTTCAGTGTTGCTTTCATTGTCTTTGATGTAGCATTTGTCCTAGAAACTACTTCGGCCAGCGAGAGCGTCGACTTTTGGGTGAGGGACTCATTGAAGTGCCTCATCTTGAGTCTGTTCTAGAACGCTCCCACAAACACCTCTTGGTTTAGAGGAACTGCCTTAATCGTGGCTTCATTAAAGCGACGAGATAGTCCCTTACCGACTCTAACAAACCTTGGCGGATGTTGAAGATGACATTGTTGGACATCTTCCTCTGGCGACTGGCGGTGAATTGGTGTATCAGCTTTCTCAATAATTCTTGATAGTTGTTAATAGAGGCTCGGGGGAGGCATGTGTAACATCTAGGTGTTGATGGAAGCGACCTGTTCGTAGGGATAATTGCGTCCATCAAACTTGGCCAAGGATGGATGTTTGAAACCTTTAGGAATAACCCCCCTATATTTCGTCAGAGAGAGGATGGTATCTAGTAGTTTCGTCTCTTTTAGGGGATTCGCCTCCTGTTGGTAATATCTGATGCTTTGGACATCATCCTCGAACGTTCGATTGTGGCGTCATAATTTGTTTGGCTGCGGCATTGCCTATATCACGAGTACCATCAGGAGTAAGGGATGAGGCTCTTATATTCACCACTTCTGGTAATGGTTAGAAGTGGGAGTTAAAGTTACAGTAGTCATGATGATGGTTTTTTTAGATAGAGGTATATCCCAAGTTAGTTTTACTAGGCCCACAGTGGGTGACATTGTACTATCAAAAAATGTACATGTGTGTGATCCCTCTACAAGGGCATGGAGACTCAAAGACCCTAGTAGGAATTTTACATGAATGGGGTGAGGGTTAGATCATGGGGCGAGTAGCCTTATACGGTCGTTTTTGAGGTTGTTTAAGAGACCAACTCACGTGAGGTGAGAGGCCCTACTAGCGGTTGGCGCTGCTAGGATGCAAGCAGGAGGTTAGACTGATGTTGTTAGGGTTACTCGGAGTAGAGTGTTCTATGATTAACGTTAGGTCATTGTAAGTGTGTATCACATCCCTTTCCCCCTCTGAAGGATAGTCTATTTATAGTAATTTCCGAGGGCTAGAGTTTATGACCCTTTCTAAACCTAGTCTTAATCGTACTCATTTATTAAGGAGATTATTGACTGGTTACATTTCTAAAATAAATAAGAACTTTCTCTCATTTAACTATCATTTTGGACAGACCGCAAGGACGACCCCACTGGATTTCGCCCGAATGACCTAATTGTCAATAGGCGCCTTAACCCAGAACTTTGCCATATATATATATATATATATATATATATATATATATATATATATATATATATATATATATATATATATATATATATATATATATATATATATATATATATATATATATATATATATATATATATATATATATATATATGGTTTTGATCCTCTAAATATCTCATATTAGACTTTTAATTTCTAAAAAAAGTTTCTTCAAAAAATATCCTCCTAAAAATTTTCATCTAGACCTTTGGTCACTCGAACTAAAATCGTCGTTAATTTATTTGCTAAAAAATAAATATATAGCAACTGAATTATTAATATATTTGATCAGTTTATAGACTATATAGATTGATTATTCAATGAATTTAAATTTAACATTTGATTTCAACATATTTCATATATTTTAATGATTTTTTTTGACTTTTCTCGTAATTCTTATTTTTCATTATATTATATAATAAGTTTTTAAATTAAAAATAAAAAAGAGTTTGACTAAAAAAAATGCCTAATTTAAAGCCAATTAGTGATGTAGTATATATAAGTGGGTTCCTAGTAAGAATTCATTCATCCCCTCCATCTTGCAAACTTATCATTTTTTCTCAGAAACATGAGAATGTTGAAACCATTGGCGTTATTCATTCTCATCTTGTGCACTATCCAGCCAAACAATGCAGAAGATATAATAGAAGAATCTTGCCATAGGGCTCCTAAATATTTTTTGGAATGTGTTAAGTACGTGAAACCCTATCAACCTAGTCCAAAAAATCCCATAGAGGTAGTAATAACCATGTTTAATATAATGAGAGACAAAGCAGATACTACCTCAACCAAAATCAGTCAAGTTCTTGCAGGTAAAGCTCGTCCTGGCACTCGTGAATATGAAGCACTTGAGCAATGTGATAATTCATACAAAGACATTGAAACATCTGATTATCAAAAAGCCCGTTATAGTATAGCCAGAGGAAATCCTAAATTTTCACTGGACACTGCAAATGATGTGTTACGGAAAGTCAGTAAATGTGAGGTGACATTTTATGGGAGAGCTGGTGGTGACATACGCACACCACTCACTGATGAGAATAATGAGATGACACTTGTTGTAACCATAGCAGCGCAGATTCTCGGTTCATTATTGTAATCTAGCTTCTTTGCTCAACAATTTACTATCCCATTTAATGTTTAATAAATAAATAAATTATATTTTATCTATTAAATAATATTTGATCAAGTAGCTTTTATTAATTCAATTAATTATTTGTGTTAAATATTATTTTTAATATCATATTTGATCTCGTTAAATAGTATTTAATATAATGATTTTAATTAATCTATTTACTCATTCAATAATTAAATGAATTTAGTTTGCTTGTTAACAAGTTAGTTAGAAAATGTTACAATTAAGTGTCAAAATTAATTTGACACAAAATTTTGTCCCTTAAATTTTTTAAGATAAAATATCTATGTTCATTGATTTGAATAGGAATTTGATAAATTTAAATTTATTTTATTTTAACAATAGATACTTTTTTTTCTAATATGATTCTTTTAAAATCACATACTCTCTCTCTTTATTTTTCACTTTCAATATTATAAATTTTAATTTAAGTTATAATTTCAATAATTTAATAATTACATGATTTTGTCTTTGTTTAAATTATTATACTTTATATTACGAAGAGAAGTGATTTCTATTTAATAAAAATATGTATAAGATTAAAATACTTGTTTTTTAAGTTAACATTAAACAATTTTTTTAAAGTTCTATAAAAATATTTCAGTGAATTGTTGACGACAACAACAATAATAATAATAATAATAATAATAATAATAATAATAATAATAATAATAATAATAATAATAATAATAATAATAATAATAATAATAATAATAATAATAATAATAATAATAATAATAATAATAATAATAATAATAAGTTTAGAAAAATATAATGTTTTAAAAAATTGATTCAAATTAAATGAAATATTTAGAGAATTGGATCAAAGTAATTTATATATAGTTTTAAAATATTTAAAATATTTTTTTCAAATGATTATATTATAATAAAAAATTACTATTTAAATTCAAAAAATGTTATTTTATTGGCTAAATTACAGTTTTGGTTCCCCTATTTTGTCTAATTCACGAAATTAGTTCTCATATCTTAAATTTAAACAGTTTTGGTCTCTCTATAATAAATTCAAACAGTTTTAATTCCTCTCTTAATTTTTTCATAGAAAATCGATGAAAATTTTGTTTTTAAAATAATATTTTTATCTACAAAGTTTAATAATAGGTTTATATACGGTGATTTGTTATGTTTTAGATGTAAATTGTCATTTAAAAAATGAAAGCATTGTTCATTTTAAGTTTAAAAATATGATAGGGAGACCAAAACTATTTAAATTTAAAATAGAGAGATCAAAACGGTTTAAATTTAAAACATGAGGATCAATTTCGTGAGTCAAATAAAATAAGAGGACCAAACACTATGCCAAAAAAGACCTTTAGTAGCGCTTTAAAGCGCTGCCAAAAGTGGCGCTGCTAAAGGTAAAGGCAGCGTTTTTTTATGGAAAAAGCGCTGCTAAAGACTCCCTTCAGCAACACTTTTAGCAGCGCTTTTATAGCCCTTTAGCAGCGCTTTCATAATCGCTGCATATTCCCCCCAACCATCCCCCCTTTAGCAGCGCTTTCACAAAGTGTTGTCTTAGAGACCACCTTTAGCAGCGCTTTTACAAAGCGCTGCCATAACCCCCCCTTTAGCAGCGCTTTTTAGAAGCGCTGTCTTAGACCCCCCCCCCCTTCCAAACCTATAGCAGCGCTTTTGTAGCGCAATGTTTGTGACCTTTAGCAGCGTTTTTTTGTAAAAGCGCTGTCTAATGTCCCAGATTTTAAATTTTTTTTTTAAATATTCACCCTGTTTTGTATATTTACCAACAACCTGCTTATATTACACAAACCTGCTTATAATTCAGGCCTTTATTTCAACACTTTGGCCTTATATATACAATTCAAAACTTTGGCCTTAAATATACAATTCAAAACTTTGGTCTTATATATACAATTCAAAACTTTGGATACATTGTAACTCATCACTTTGTTCATAAACATTTTAATATACACATAAACCTGTTTAAATATGTTACAACAAAATTCGATCCTCAGAATTACAACATCACAAATACATTCAATTTACATATAATTACATTTCTTCCAATCCGATAACTCTATACAATTCTCAACCCAAGAATAAATTGACACCATTCCTCTTTAATTTCTTCCAATTTTGCTTTCGTGTAAGTAGCACACTTGAATTCATCAAAATACTACATAATATAACAGATCGAATAAGATTTAATTTTAAAACTAATTACTCAGATGAAGTATCGGATAATTATCAAAATGAATCATATAACTTATATAATGAATTGATCCATACCATGACTGGAATCTCAAGTTGACCAGAAAGAATAATTTTCCTCATAAAGCGCAAAACAAAATATCCACAGTCAATACCATTGCGCTGCCGAGGACACTGTAAATGGAAAAAACAAACGAACATTTATCAGGATATATAGTTTAAATAGTTTTATCAAGTAGAACCACTATAACAGACAAACATGCGAAAATATACCTCCACTCTGATCCAGTTGATGTTGTTAGCCTTACTTTTTGGCACCGTTGCATCTCTTTGTGCTCTGAATATTTGTATAACTCTAACATAATATAAACGCATATTTAGAACAATGTCACATAATAAATAAAGATATATAATTAAAGACAACAATATATCTCATCACTTACGTATCAACCATGTTCCTCAGATTTTCATATTTTGTTGTATCGCCATCCAATGAATCTATATAATACACTATTTCTTTCGTCGGATTAATCGCGATCAACAACCAATGTCCACTATAAAATAAGACAACAGTTTAGACGGAAATGTTATATAGAAAGGGAAAAATCGAACAATTATAATAAATGAATTTAGAATAAAATCTAACCCATGGCCAGTATTATATGGCAACAAGAATAACTTCTCCGTAGTCGCGCGCATAAATCTCTGCACTGTGTACTTTTTGACTGTATATGGTGTCTGGTCTATTATCTGTGAGTTGACACATCTAGCAGATAAGAATACGAATACTGAAGTCAATTCATTCGGGACCAATAACTTGTCATACAAGAACCTAAAAAAACATAATCAACATTAGAATATTCAGTTAAACGAGCAAATTTTAAAATGTTCAATTATTTAATTAAAATGGATCGAAGTACCTGATGTATGAATGCATAACACCGACACCCAGTTCAGAATGGTTGAAAACCTGATCAAAATCCTCCTTAGCAATTGTTTCGGGATATTCAAAACCGAAAATACCTGCCTCCATATGTATTTGACGGATGCCACCCTCAGGCACATCTGATGTTCCGACATATGTTTCAAGGCACATCCTAAATCGAGGAACAAATGCTTTTCTGGGAACCTTGGAAGTTTCAGGCATCTTACCCTTGCTGACTTGTTGCGATTGCTGATCATGAACCTAAAAGTCATATATAAGTTCAGTAATTAATGTATAACAAGATAATCATGTAACTGTAGTAGTACCTATTTATTTGATGCAGCTGAATCGGTATCCCGCATAATAATTCTATCATCTTTTGATTTGGATTTTGTAGGAGTCTAAGATCATCATGTAAATAAGAAAATGTAGATGTAAGAATAAATTTCATGTATGGATCATAAAACATTTGAGTATTAAAAGGTTCAACCTACCTCATCATCTATGCAAATGAGATTTGTCGACCATGCCACATACGCTCCTATTGCGTCTCCCGCCACTGTTGCGCCTGAAATATCATCTGGTATAGGCAACAACGCACTCCCCTCTAATGCAATATCAATAGATACTTTCAAAAATCCAGAAGGGAGCGGTTTATGGTGAAGTAAGTCTCCCAGAAAGTTATGCACCTTTCCCTTGCCAACCATTCGATGAGTAGCTGACGATAAATATAGTCGGCAAAGTGAAATGCCTTAAATAAATAATGATCAGTTAATGTGTCAATTAAGTAAACTGTGCTAAATTAATTTCAATGTAATATATACAATTACCTCTAGAAGCTTCTGCGGACAACTGATACTATCTTTGTCACTAGTAGCTTTACCCTCTGGAGCGCGTCTTTCCGACATGTATCTCTCCTTATCCTTCTGTAATTCACAGATTCGCGCTTTCAATTCCTCCAAAGTATCCATCACTTCTTTATTGGTTGGATTTTTTTCTTTGGCTGCTTATACAGTTTGGATGGAGTGACACCAAATCCCTTACCCCTCACACGCCCAGAATACTCAGGAATATTCAGCACCCGGCTCAGTAAGCTCCTGCAATCATCGTCCTCAGCGGGAGTTATGGTCTGGGATAGAGTCTCCTGAAATATAGATAAAAACATATATAAATATATTATACACTTTTGATCAGTTACTGACAAAGATAACGTTGTACTTACACATTGTTCAAAGACTTGTTGAACTTCTTCCTGAACGACTCCATCTCGTCCCACACGGGCAGCCTTCCATACAACATGGTCCGGAAGAGATGTCGCATCACTCTTCTCCTCTTCCAACTACGCATTAAGACGGATAATAAAGCATTATATCCTATTATATATACTTACTATTTTTTGTAAATATATCATATTAAAGCATTTATATGTACTTACTATTTTTTGTTCTAATCGTGCATATCCCAAACGGCCCTTTCTGTATGGATATGCGGGATTTGATGCCCGTTGAAGATTTACGCCACTAACAACCTGAAAAAACAAGTTTATCAGAACTCTTGTGGAAGAAGTATATATATTATACATAGTTCATGATAAGTTGTACTTACTTCAAATTCTTTTGTTCTTCGCTTTGCAACAAACGTCTCCCATTCTTCCTCCGAAACCAAATCCGCGTACTTCATTGGACGCTCCGAGTCAACAAAGTTTCCTCCAGAATCTTTTAGAAACTTGTTTGTTAAAAACGCTCTAAATCCCCTCAAGCGTTTTCCGGCCAATTGAATACAATATTTTCTCCTACGATCTTCAATATTAAAAGATCTCTGCAAACAAACACACATACATATAACATGTTAGTAT